TTGAACCCAATAAAAGCCCACTGAGGAAAAGGCTCCTGGCCCTTCTCCTTTGAGAGATCAGCCACCTTTCCTCCCCAAGCAGATCATGTCTTGGGAGATTTATTCTCATCCGTGGCAAGCAGGGGTGGGGTGGGAGCTCTGTGGGCGGAGCCCCCCACAAGTATGTGTGCCATATTAGTGGGTTCCTTAAGGTAGTTGAAATAAAAAGTATCCTAAATATTAAATATTCTAAGGGAATATTATTAGCTAAAACTAAAACTAAAACTGGTTTGCCTTTATAGAATTAAATGAACTACCTCAAATCTATTATGTTACCAAAAAACAGAAAGTAAGTTACTGTCCAGAATAATAATTTTTTTTTTTTTTTTTTTTAGCCCTGGCTGGTATGGCTCAGTAGATTCAGTGCCAGCCTGCAAATCAAAGAGTCACCAGTTCAATTCCCAGTCAGGGCACCTGTCTGGGTTGCAGGACAGGGGTGGGGGCACACATGATAGGCAACCATCCATTGATGTGTCTCTCCCTCTTTTTTCCTCCCTTCCTCTCTCCCTAAAAGTAAATATTTTAAAAATTATTTTTATTTTTACTTATTGATTTGAGAAAAAGACAGACACATCTATTTGTTTCACTTAGTTATGCATTTATTGGTTGATTCTTGTATGTGCCCTGACCAGGTATCAAATCCACAACGCTGGTGTATTGGGACAACACTCTAACCAACTGAGCACCTGGCCAGGGCCAGAGTAATAAACATTTTCAATTAACTATTGCTTTGTATAATATCTACACATTTATTGGACTTACGTAAATAAACAGGCATCAAAGCACCACAAGACTCTTCCACCTTTGAAGCAAAATACAGACCAGCAACACTGGAAAAATAAATAAATAAAAACTTGGGAGGAAACTTTATAAATTAAAAGATAGAAATTTAAAACAGGAACACCAGAATTCAAGGGAAATGTGTTTTCCAATAGATGCATGAGTAAGGAAAGGCAAAATTATACTATAGTTAAAATTTTAAAAGACATTGAGAAAAACATCATTAAAAACAATTTTAAAAATAGGATGTTTCATGAGCATATACTGGGCAATTTTTCTGTAGATCACATCCTTCTACACGTTAACAACATATACTATAGAAAATGAACACATCATCTTCACTTTTCTGTCAACCACAACCTTGAAGCATTCATTTTCAGGTAAGACACAGATTGTACATGTTCAACCAATATTGCATCCTTAAAGATTCCATTCAATCCAAAAACTCTTATAACTTTAGCAACATAGGCAACAACATGAAAATTAGTTATAAAACTACTACTGAGCTCAGATGAGGAACTTGGGCCATAATAAGTTCATTATCAGCAATACTAAATGATCTCAATTCACATAAACAGATTCTATAAAGTAGTTTACTATAGTTTTGGCTTAACCGTCAGTTTTACCAAAAAAGGAAAAAGACTTTCTCATTTTATTTATTATTGGGAAAAAAGAGACAGTACTAATCACCACTTACGGTCAACATTCTGAGTGGCATCTAAACATTTATTAACAAAACGTGGTCAAGTTAAAATCACACAGTGCTGCCTTGACTGGTGTGGCTCAGTGGATTGGGCATCGTCCCACAAACCAAAGGGTTGCTGGTTCCCTTGCTGGTCAGGGCATATGCCTGGGCTGCAGGTTCAGTTCCCAGTTGGGGGCATGAGAGAGGCAACCAATCAATGTTTCTCTCCCTCTTTCTCCCTCCACTCCCCTTTAAAAATAAATAAGTAATCTGACTGGTGTAGTTCAATGGATTGAGCGCAGGCTGCGAACCAAAGTATCGCAGGTTCAATTCCCAGTCAGGGACCATGCCTGGGTTGCAGGCCATGGCCCCCAGCAACTGCACATTGATGTTTGTTTCTTTCCCTCTCTCTCTCTCTCCCTCCCTCCCTCCCTCCCTTCTCTCTCTAAAAGTAAATAAATACATCTTTAAAAAATAAATAAATAAATAAATAAGTATAATCTTTTTAAAAAACATAAGACAAAACAAAAACAAAAGCATCATCACTCTAAGTTAGCACCACTCAGTAACCTGAGATATTTTAATTGCAGCTGAATGTTTGTGTTAGTTGCCAGTGCCTATGACTCATTCTCAAAAAGGTTCTCCCAAGACTCTTGCCGATTTTTGAGAATGCAGGAACCATAACTGGGGCATACTGTGTGGGAAGTGTCTTGACAGTGAATGAATAAAAGGAGAAAATAACTCATGACAGAATTTTTAAGAAGTTTTTATAAAAAGCAACTCACTCACAAAAGGCAGATTTTTCTGCAGGATAGGAAAGGTTGAAGAAGCTATCCTGGCACTGAGAACCCCTGGTTGGTTGGATTCAGGCCCTTCTTACACTACAACATATAGTACTTAACTGGTTTCCTTGTCTGACTCCCCACCCAGACTGTAGGCAACTTGAGACCAAAAGCTGTCTTGTCCTAGAATCATTAGTACCTACTTTCCAAAGTGCCCAACACAAAGAGGGCTCTAGATAGATGTTTTCATAACAGTGATTTATTGAAGATCAATCTTACATTTACCCTTTATTTTACAAAGTAGTTTTACAAATATTACCTCCTTTGATGCACAAGAGGATCTTATGAAGAGGGAAGGGCATTAAAATGGCTTTCAGTTTTATAAAGAGTTGTTAGCCCTGAATGGTGTGGCTCAGTGGGTGGGGCATTGTTTTGCAAACCCAGAGGGTAGCCTGGTTTGAGGCACATGCCTGGGTTGCAGGTCTGGTCCCTGGTTTGGGGTGTGTGAGAGGCGATGGATTGCTGTCTCCCTCACACATCGATGTTTCTCTCCCTCTCCTTCCTCCCTCCCCACTCTCCAAAAATAAATTAAATTTTTTGAAAAAGAATTGTTAATTCACAGACCTAAACAAACCTGATATCACAAAGATAATCACATACTTGTTCATCATTGTGATAACATCTCCTTGGGCCCTCAATATTCTTGTAAAACCCAGAGGTTTTGCTCGTCTCTTCTGTGCCTGCTCTTCATAATAGGTAGGACTCACACAGCTCTGAATGTTACAGAATGATTTTTAACTACATAAGGCAGTGTTAAATAAAGTTTCTCTTCTAGAAATCAGACATTGAGAAGCATCCTAAGCTGTTTTTCCTGACCCTGTTCTTTTTGTAAAGACCCTGAGAAGGTAAGGAACTGCAAAAGGCAAAATGCTGGAGAGTGAATGATGTCATGGGCACCATGAAGTCGCATCAATACCTGATGATGATTTAGCACAACAACGCCACACATTATGCCAAGAAGCATGATGTTGAACCACCAGGATGTTTCACTGCATTAATTTTGTGACTCTTTATTATTAGCAAATTGAAAGACACAGTGGCTCTCCAATTTTCCACAACGGAGAAGTTGTTGGTTCAAGTTTATACCCTTAGCAAAGGCACTAAAAAAAAAAAAAAAAAAAACCCTACAAATCTCTATGGAGATGGTTTTAAGAAAAGGTAAAATGGTAAAAATATAAGCTGATATTAAACACTTGTCATGTTAGCAATTAAAAGATTTTTGAAATACACAAAACATCCGTGGGTCAATGTAGAGTAAATAACCCATTTATACTGGGCTTGTGAAAAGCAAACAATTACAGGGTATAGAATGACAACATATAAATGAAAGGACGTCCAATCAAATGACACACATGAATATGCGCAAAGTTAGGATTCAACACAGAGCATCCCTCTTCACTGTAAAAGCTACAGAGTGAATTTTCAATGTTCAAATGTAATGATGGCATTTCCTCCCAATTTTCCCTGTACCCGTCAAGCCCACATGACGTCATCATTCTTAAGCACTGCAAAACAAATTTAACTTTACAAAAGGTATTTGAAGTGTCCAATCCAAAGCCATCACCTCCTCAATTCCCCACAGCACAACTCCAACTGAAGCCAGCAATTCCTAAGGGGGAAAAAAAAAAACAAAAAAAAAAACGCGGGACTTCAAACCGACTTTCCTAGTTACAGAAACTGAATCAGCCCCTAAATCAGCATCTGAACAAAAAAGTTATTCTCAAAACAGAACGAGCATCGTACAACAACGTCCCTGCCCGCAAGTGAGAGCTGGTCGTGTGTCTGAACCTTCATCCACAGCAATCAGAATCCTAGCATTCAGAGGTCCAAAAGCTTGGCAATTAAGAAACGAAGCTTTTACTTTCCTAATAAAATTCGGGCGACTGTACAGACCCAAAGCAGCTGGCTCTTTCGAATCTTAACAACTCAAAGGTTCCAAACGAACGAGGACTTCATTAGCACCGAAGTTACTCTGCAAAGACTATCAAGATCTTTTTTTTTTTCTCTTCGTTTACAAATTCATTCCCACCCTCTCACCGTTGCGTTTACACAAACAATTCTCACCAGAAGGCTTGTACAGGCTCAACGTGGATTGCTGTCTCAACCAAAGAGATCCATGGTTCCCACTTCCCTGGCGGAACACTCAAAAAGCTAAGGGGTAGGAAAGGCTGCTTGTGTTTTATTTTTTAGGTCAATTCCAAAATCTTCCCTTTGCAGCTGCAGCTTCAGAGAGGCTGGCCCCTCGCCGCAGCCCCAATTTTGCAGGGCACCGGCCTCCGGCTTCTCTCTCAAGACGCTAAACATTCGCGGGCGGGGAAAGATTACCTGACATCCCTACAGCCATCCTTGCCCACGTCACACACCCATTCTCGGCCCGCTGGGGGGATAAGAACCGCCCTGCTTGAGGAGAGGGGCTGGGTTCACTCCCATCCCAATGGCTGGCTGGAGAGGGTCTCTCCTCCTCCTCCTCGCTTAACCTAGGGAGGCCGAGAATTACGACGGCAAGGTCTCCAGACCAGCCGGCACCGACCACCGCGCGGGGGTGCAGGGCCTGCGTGGAACCCGGAGCGCCCACTGCCCGCTGCGGGCCCGGCGCATAAAGGGCAGGAGGCTCCAGCTGCCCGCCGCGGCCCTGGGATGGGGAGAGACCTCACCTGGCCCAGCCCGCGCCACGCTCTCGGGTTAGCCCCGCTGACGACAGCGGTGAGGGAGCCGGGACAGGGCCAGTGCAGAGGCGTTCCGCCTCAGGCAGCGCTTGCCGCACTCGGGGCTCCTCACAGCTGGCCGGACTGTAAACCGCCAGGAGCCGCCATCTTCCTCGACTCAAATGCCGCCGCCGGGGCAGCTCTGGCCTGGAGAAGATAGCACGGAACACGCATGCGCCGGGGCCCGGCGTGGAGGAAACGCGTGCGCGCCTGCGCGCGCACACGTCAGCTCAGCGGCCCGCGCTGGCGGCCTGGGGGCGTTGCCCTTTTGGGAAAGGGCGTGGTCCCAGGCTGAGGTTCACCCCGAGGAACCCGCCCCCTGGAGTGAAGGAAAGTCGTGCTTCCGCGTCCTTCTTCCTTTGGTGGTTAGAGCCTACCCCAGGTCTGCACCCACCCCCATTCTCAGTGCCTGGGGCAACTGGCTTGAGACCATGATGGAAGTTCGGCCAGGAATAAACTCTTTTGTACCTCTGGGGTCCCAAAGAGCGCAGGGGTGGACTGTGGGAATTGGAAATGGATGCTCTTGGATGTTTACTGAAGGAGGGAAGCCCCCATTAACTATAACAACTACTCTGTGACTTGTTACTAGCTCCATTTTTCAGATGGGGAAACAGACACAGAGAAGTATCAGACATTTTCCCAAGGCCACACACCTTAGGGGAGAGGAGGCAGGGTAGAATTTGAACTCTGGCTTATCTGGTTCTCAAGCTCCTGTACTTTCTACTGTCACTGTCCCCAGGCCAGACAGCAGAGTCCAGCAAAATCCACCTTCCAAAGAAGCAATCTGGTGTGTAGATGAGAATCTTGAACCCAGCGGGACAGCATGTGGTCTAAAAAAAAGGCAATGCCAGAGATACAGAAACTAAGGGCTTCAGTCCTCATTGCTTGCACAGAAAACCAAAGGAAGCTTGAGGTGCCAGTCCACCACTCTGGGGTAAAATGGATTCTGGGATATCTCTTGGGATACCCAGCTGGATCAGAACCCAAGTCCCCTCTCAAATTGGGAGGGCACCATTAAGCAGACTTGAGTCACCCTCACTCTAGAAATCACTAGATCTGTGTTCCTGAAACAGGAATAATGAAGAAACTTCTGGAAATACACTCATGGAATCCCAGTATGAGGAACACTGATTTACTTCCGGCCAAGATGGAGGCATAGGTAGATACACTGTGCCTCCTCCCACAACCAAAAGAAGGACGACAAAAAATTTAAAAACAAAAAACCATCAGAACAGACAGAAAATTGAACTCTATGGAAGTCTGACAACCAAGGAGTTAAAGAAGAATCATTCATCCAGACCAGCAGGACTGGTGGAGACAGGCAACTGGACGGAGACAGGCAACCGGACGCCGCAAGGTGGCGGCTGGTGAGTGGGGCGGTCCCACATTCGCTTGCAGATAAACTGGAAAGAACAACCGGGGAGCGAGACAAACCACCCAACCCAGGCCTCCAGCGCAGGGAAATAAAGCTTCAACCCTCTGATTGAAAACACCTGTGGGGATTACAGTGGCAGCAGGAAAAACTCCCAGCCTCACAGGAGAGTTCTTTGGAGAGACCCACAGGGTCCTAGAACATACACAAACCCACCCACCCAGGAATCAGCACCAGAAGGGACCAATTTCCTTGTGGGTAGCAGAGGAAATGACTGAAAACTGGCAGAGAGCGGACCAAGTGCCATTGTTCCCTCTCAGACCCTTGCCCCACATACAGCATCACAACACAGCAACATGGGTTGCCCCGCCCTTGTGAACACCTAAGGCTCCACCCCATACTACGTAACAGGTGCACCAAGATAAAAAAAAAATGGCCCAAATGAAAGAACAGATCAAAGCTCTAGAAAAAATACCACCAAGTGATGAAGAGGTAGCCAACCCATCAGATGCACAGTTCAAAACACTGGTAATCAGGATGCTCACAGAATTGGTTGAATTTGGTGGCAAATTAGATGGAAAAATGAAGGCTGTGCTAAGTGAAATAAAGGAAAATGTATAGGGAACCAACAGTGGGGGGAAGGAAACCAGGACTCAAATCAACAGTGTGGACCAGAAAGAAGAAAGAAACATCCAACTAGAACAGAATGAAGAAACAAGAATTCAAAATAATGAGGACAGGCTTAGGAACTTCCAGGACATCTTTAAATGTCCCAACATCCGAATCATAGGGTTGCCAGAAGGAGAAGAGGGGGAGCAAGAAAGTGAAAATTTATTTGAAAAAAAATAATGAAGGAGAGCTTCCCCAATCTGGCAAAGGAAATAGACTTCCAGGAAGTCCAGAAAATTCAGGGAGTCCCAAAAAGTTGGACCCAAGGAGGAACACACCAAGGCACATCATAATTAGATTACCCAAGATTAAAGATAAGGAGAGAATCTTAAAAGCAGCGAGAGAAAATGAGGCAGTTACCTGCAAAGGAGTTCCCATAAGACTGTCAGCTGATTTCTCAAAAGAAACCTTGCAGGCAAGAAGGGCCTGGAAAGAAGTATTCAAAGTCATGAAAGGCAAGGACTTACATCCAAGATTACTCCATCCAGTAAAGCTATGATTTAGAATGGAAGGGCAGATAAAGTGCTTCCATTCTAAAAGTGCTTGACCAGATAAGGTCAAATTAAAAGAGTTCATCGTCACCAAGCCCTTATTATATGAAATGTTAAAGGGACTTATCTAAGAAAAAGATAAAAATTATGAACAGTAAAATGACAACGAACTTAGTTATTAACAACCAAACCTAATACAAAAACAAAAACTAAGCAAACAACTAGAACAGGAACAGAATCACAGAAATGGAGATCCCATGGAGGGTTATCAGTGGGGGACTCCCCCTGCAACTGTAAAGGTACAGAGAATAAGCATAAATGATAGGTATAAGATAGACAGATAGACAGGGGGAGGTTAAGAATAGCATAGGAAATGTAGAAGCCAAAGAACTTATATATATATGATCCATGGACATGAACTAAAGGGGGGGAATGTGGGTGGGAGGGGGTGCACAGGGCAGAGGGGAGTAAAGGGGGGAATGGGATAACTGTAACAGCATAATCAATAAGACATATTTCAAGGAAAAAAAACACTAATTTAAGAAACTCAGGTCTAGCCCTGGCTGGTGTGGTGCAGTGGATTGAGTGCCAGCCCGCAACCCAGAGCCACCAGTTTGATTCCCAGTCAGGGCATATGCCTGGATTTCGGGCGAGTCCTCCAGTAGGGGGCACTGGAGAGGCAACCACACATTGATGTTCCCCTCTCTCCCTCTCTTCCTGTGTCTAAAAATAAATAAATAAATAAACTCTTTTTAAAAAGGAAAGAAGCTCAATTCTTTCAGTTTGGAAATGTCACTGCAAAAGAAAAACTTGGCAATTAAACTGATAAAAATATTAAAAGCATGTCATTAAAAATTTGTCACAGAACTTGTAACTAATCCCCTCGCCCACCATGTAGAGGTCAATGTTAGAAACATACTGGGCCAGCTGTTAGGTCAAAGTCGCTCAAGAAACCAGACGGATGCAGCGAGCTACGGGGAGCAGGGTTTAGTAGCAGGGAAAAAGAGGGAAAGTGGGGCCAACTGAGGGAGTTTAGGAGGAAAGTGGAGCCAACCAAGGGAGGTTGGGACTCACTTGGTTGTTCTTAGATCGGGTTTTTTAAACGCAAAAACCTGAGGTTGGAGCATTAGAGTCTGATTGGCTAGAGCTGTTTGCTGGGTGAAAGCTGCATCCTGTTATGCTGGATATACTGACCCCAGACCCTAATCTTCCTGGGTAGAGTCTTCAGGCAGCTTCCCACGGTGCCATTTTCTCACCTGGTGATTCTCATTCCTCCTAGGCCTGCCTGGATCTAACACCAGCTTTCGGGGCCCAGTTAGGTTTTGAACTGCTGGATCATGTCAGAACAGGTTCAAATACAGAAGCACTTCACCCCGAATCTCCTAGACCAAAGACAGGGGGGATTTTTGTCTGCTTTGTTCACTGCTTTATCACCTAATTTAGAGACTAGCACACAGTAGGGACTTACTAAATATGTACTGAATGAATGCATGAACAGAGAATTTTTTTTAAAGGTTCTATTATTTAGCCCTGGCTGGCGTGGCTCAGTGGATTGAGCGCAGGCTGCGAACCAAAGTGTTGCAGGTTCGATTCCCAGTCAGACCACATACCTGGGTTGCAGGCCACAGCCCCCAGCAACCGCACATTGATGTTTCTCTCTCTCTTTCTCCCTCCCTTCCCTCTCTAAAAATAAATAGATAAATAAATAAAATCTTTTAAAAAAAGGTTTTATTATTTGTGTTTAGACACAGGGGAAGGGAGGAAGAGAGGGAGAGAAACAATCAGTTGCTTCTCCTTTGGCTTGATTCCACTGCCCAGGCATGTGGCCTGAAGGGAAATCCAACCAGCCACTTTTCCCTTTGCAGGACGACACCCAACCCACTGAGCCACATCAGTGAGGGCTGAACTGGGAATCTGATAACTAAGAACGCAGTAAGTCAAATATTTAGTGAGCACCTAGTATGTGCCAAACCATGTGATATGTACACTATCACATGTGATATGTGATAAATAAAACTAACAAAATCCCTGCCCTCACGAAGGGCCCCTACAATCTACTGGGAGAGGTAGACAATAAACAACTGAATAAGCCATATAAAACTATAAATTGTGATAAGCATAAAGGTACTATATTAAAGCAAATTAATAATAGTCACAGATGGTGTGTATTATGCACTGTTATGTGCCAAACACTGCTAAGTAGGTGCCATTGTTGTGCTTATTTTGCAGATGCTAAAACTGAAGCTCACAGGGATTAACTAACTCAGCCTGGGGTCACAAGCAGGGTTTCAACCCAGGTGTCCTCACTTCAAAGACTTTGCTCTTGAACTCTCCATAGTGTGGCTTCTGACAACAGGAGGCAATAAGATTGAGGTCAGTTTATACATGGCCTGGATATTACCTTTTAGGTAGTGGGAATCTGGGGCCAGGAAGGATATGTGATGTGTTAATATAATGTTTTATAATAGTTTCTCTATCATGGATGAAGGCCTTTTGGGACAGAATCAGAGAGGAGACAACTGATGAGGCTAGGATGAAAGGGGTGGCTGTCACTTCTCCCATATGTGTAAACTAAAAGCTTTCCTCCAGACTCCATTCAATGATCAATTATTGAAATTCATTTATTTATGTATTTATTTAGGATAAGTAAGCTATGTATATAGAACAACATTCAACAAGTACAAAAGGACATATAATAAAATCCATCCTACCAGTGTCCTGGCTACCTGGTAAACTATTTTCCTCAGCCAGTTACAAGTTCCTGGTATCTTTCCAGGCGTTGCTAATATAAGAACAGTTTGTGCAACTTGGACGTAACCAGGCAGCCAAGGCGAGTGGACTGGAATGCGCATGCGTGAACGATGACGCCTTCACTGTGCTGGCCGGTGGGGGTGGTAGATACTGTTGAGTGAGCATGTGCACTGTGTTGCAGTCACGTTCAAAATGACTGAGAGGGCAGAGCAACGAGTCTGCACCAAATTTTGTGTTGAGCTTGAACATTCCTCCGCAGAAACTATTCAGATGACTCAGAGCGCTTTCAGGGATGATGCAATGAGTGCAGCACGAATAAAAGTGTGGCGCAAGTGCTTCAAAGGTGGTCGAGAATCTGTTGAAAGTGACCCACATTCTAGAAGACCTGCAGCAAGCAGAACACCTGAGAATGTCGAACACCCACAGCCTGCAACCAACAAAGATTTGTGACTGGCCGTGGGAGAACTAGAAGCTGACCTAGAGATTCCAAAAACTACTGTGTCTGAGGCTTTGACTCACGATCTTGGCAGGAAATGTATTGTGGCAAAATTCATTCTGTGGCTCCCACTACCAGAGCAGAAGGAACATCGTGCTGCTGTTGCTAATGGCTTGATTCAAACTGCTACCAATGAACCAGAATTCCCCAAGAAGGTCATAACTGAAGATGAATCGTGGGCGTACAACCAAGAGTCTGATCCAAAAACAAAGGCCTTGTCGTCCCAATGGAAGTCGCCTGACTACCCAAGTCCAAAGAAGGTGCAGCGAAGTGGTTTTTGATTGAGAAGGTGTTGTCCATCACAAGTACTCCCCTCCAGGCCAAACAATTAATAAGGAATACTACCTCAATGTTCTTCATAGGTTGAGAGATGCAATACAATGAAAACAGCCAAAGCTATGGACAACTGGTGATTGGCAGCTTCATCACAACACGCCAGCTCATGCATCACATCTGGTGCAGAGTTTTTTGATGAAACATCAGATCGCCCAGGTGACTTGGCCCACCCCACAGCCCAGATTTTGTGCCCTGCGACTGCTGGCTTTTGTCAAAACTAAAATCACCTTTGTTGTTATTAGTTGTTTTTTATTTTAAGATTTTATTTATTTATTTTTAGAGAGAGGGGAAGGGAGGGAGAAAGAGAGAGAAACATCATTGTGTGATTCCATCTCATGGACCCTGAGCCAAAACTGAGGCATATGCCCTCAACTGTGAATCGAACTGGCATCCTCTCACTCTACAGATGAGGAAGGGACTTGCCCATGGTCACCAGGAGCCTATATGATTAACTAGGCTGGCCACCAGATTGCTCATTCGGTGCAACGGAAACTATTTCCTTTGTAGCATCCTCAGATGATCTCCACAATCTCTATCTTTCTCTCGTCTCCTAGAAAATTTAGTCCCAGGAATGCCACATGAATTCCTAGGTTAAGGCTCATTGCCAATTATAACAAAATTATAAGAAACTATCTCCCTCTGCTGGTAACACGCTATAAAGACAAAGCCTAAAACTATTGAGGGTCAGTTGCATTTATGAAAAAGTAACCACACCTCACAAGTGAGACCTAGGTGCTATCTGATAGACAGCCTCCATCATCTTGTCTTTGCCAAGCCTCAATCGGGATAATTCAGCTAAAATAATAGTTCATTCCCTGGCTGGTGTGGCTTAGTGGATTGAGTGCAGGCCTGTGCACTGAAAGGTTGTCAGTTTGATTCCTGGCCAGGGCACATGCCTGGGTTGTGGGCCAGGCCCCGAGCTGGGGGGCATGCAAGAGGCAACTGATCATCCCTTGCACATCGATGTTTCCCTCCCTCTCTTTCTCCCTCCCTGCCCCTTTCTGTAAAAATAAATAAAAAAATATTTTTTAAAAATAATGGTTTACAGGAGAATGTGTTCAAAGTAAACATTGTTCCAGAGAGTGAACAAGACAAAGACCTTTATCTTTGAAGTTGGCCAGGCTGTTCACAGCATTATTTGCATTTTAGACATAGAGAATTTGAGCTGCTAATGAAATACCCATGTGGAAATGCCAGTAGGAAGGCTATCTATATGAATTGGAAACACCTGGTCAGTTGAGGGCTGGAAATAACATTTGGGAGTCTTCAGCACACAGTGGGTGGCTTACACCATGCCCATTTAGGAAAGAACAGTGGACTCAGGACTGACCCAAAAATGAACAATATTTCAGAGACAGGAAATTGTGAAACCAGAGAATTAGTGAGCATATCACTTTAACTCCTAAATAAAGACTGGTAACATTTAACACACGACTGCAATTAATAATAATAATAATCATTAAGAATACAGATTGTAAAAATTTCACAACAGGAAGCTGTTTCTTCAGAAAGATTAATAACGTACTAAAAATACATCCCAACTAAAAAAAATAACACCCCAATTCAGATAACATGATTATAGCAGCCAAATGCAACCATACTGAATGGCATGTTTTTAACATTGGAGGGCCTATTTAAACACGTCAGTGAGAATAAAAGCACATGGTGCTTGCTATGCCCCTGCCTTTTTGATTTCAGAAAGAAAGCATGATCAGAGATGTGAGGATTATAAATCTTATGGTGTGGGAAGACATCCCCGTAATAACAATAGGCAACCCGTAGAACTCTTACTATGGGTCAAGCACTGTTCTAAGCATTTCAGCGTAATAACTCATTACTCCTTACAATGTACTTCTGAAGAAGCTATTACTACTATTAACTCTTTTTTTCTACTTGGGGAAACCGAGGCACAGGATCCTTAAGTAACTTGTAGACAATCACACAGCTGTTTAAGTTGGAAGTGTTCGAAGTTGAACTTTAAAGTCTAAGGTCTCCATTTCTATTCTGGAGAAAAATAGAACACTGTTTAGAAAGACGCGTAAATACATTTTAAGGTAATTCTAACGTATGTATCTGTTATTAAAGATTCAGGAGAACTTTAGTAGTTCTGGTTGTCTGGCTCAAGTGCAATATCACCAACTAACAGTAATGTTTTTACCTCACGGTAGAAAATATAATTGTTAACAGATGTTTGGAATACTGCTTTATGAACAGGAAATACTGTAATAATTTTCGCCCTATCAGATAAAAGTAATAAAGTGTTTTATGCATCAGCAAATATTTTTCATTATTTGTTGAGGTATACAGTGTTTTCAGAATTTTGAAATAAAAACATAATCTGCAGTTCCTGAAAACTACGACTCGCTTTAACTTTTCTTCTTTCGCAGTAATTGGTTGCCCTTAGGAAAGATGGTTCCAAAGATCACGCTTCCGGTACTCAAGACGGCGATTCACAAGGACTCCCATTCAGTTTAACAACGTTGCCCTTTAAAAAAATGGCAACATTCTAATTTCCCTGCCCTCTTCCAAGATGGCTTCCTCGACAATCTGGGTCCCTAGTGTGGCGCCTTTTCCGGGCTTGACAGGGGGCGGGGTCCATTGAGTAAAGCCTTGCGTGCTGGCGCCCGCGACCCAGGCGCGTATCAGGGCGCAGGCGCGGGGAGGGGGTTGGGGGAGGAGGGAAAGCGGCGAGTAAGATGGAAGATGAGGAGGTCGCTGAGAGCTGGGAGGAGGCGGCAGACAGCGGGGTAAGGAGGAGCCGCCGCCCCGGGGCAGGGCCGGGCGGGACCTGGCGTGAGGGAAGCCTCCGAGGAGCGGGTCTGAGTATGGTTATCCCCAAGGAAGGGCCCCGCACGGCGGGCCGGGGGTGGTGGAGAGTCCCCCGCTCTCTGAGCGCTGTGAAGGCCTCTTAAAGGGGCCGCGTTCCATTTCTTCCTCCACCTTTGCTCGGTGCGCCTCCTTCCATCCCCGCGACGTGCGCGTCACCCGGGGCGCCCCACCCGTCACCCAAGTCCTCTTTTCCTAGCCCCCCGCGCCCGCTCGCTCGCCCCGGGCCGCCTTGACCCTTTCTTTCCGGGCCCTCCCGCCCGAGGAGCTATACAACGTGTGTCGTGGGAGGGGGGGGGGGGTGTTGCGAGTTGGTGCGCGGAGTGGGGCGGCATGCGGGGCTCTGGAAAAGGGCTGGAAGGGAAGCAGTTGTCTCTGGGTCCCTCAACTCTCTTCTAAAATCCCCCACCGCATGCGCCGTCCGCCACGGTGGGCGAGCGTGGGTTTTTTTTCTCTTTCAGTTTTACTCGTAAGAGCCCGTTGCAGGCGGGTCTCCTGGGGACCCCGCCAGCAAGACCGTAAGCCCAGTGGGCAGTCCTTTTCCCCCGGGACACACCCAACAATCTGAGCCCGGAGGGAGGGTCTCGGAGTGTGCTTTCCGGGATGGAGAGGGGAGAGCTGCGATATACAGCATACTGTAGCCGCATTCCGGAGAGACGAGTGGGAAATGGACCGTTTGGCTTGCTTTTGGAGTTTTTATTTGCTTCCAGAAACTGTAGGAAAATAGTTCATCCCGAGCAGGAACAGCCAAGGCTGTTAGGTCCGTAACAAATGTGGTCTTTTCAGGGTTTGTGGTTTTAGTGGTGACCTTTGAAAAGATGGAGAGAGGACTCTTTGGCCTCCCCACGTTTGTGTCTAGTGCTGGCTCGAGTGGCATCTGCCTTAATTGTTGGGAGTCGGTCGTGGAGAGCCGAGTGTGCGAGGGTAGAACAGGAGCTGGGTTTTTCTCCCACAGCGCCAGTCGGGATGTCTGTCAGCTTGAGAAGAGGCCAAGAAACTGACTCGCGCAGTGGGTGTTTCTCTGCGGGAATGCTGAGACTTGGCTTCAAAGTTTTTTTTTTCTGGTGGTTCAGCATTTCTCTCACGGTGTTCGTTTTTCCACTTAGCATGATTGAAAATGTGAAGAATTAATTTGTTCAAAAGGCATTTGGTACAGTTCTTATGTGCCGACCATTTTTCTTGGGTTTTTGTTTTGAGTAAGGAGAGCAATTGAAAGATTTTGTAGGGAGCAACAGGTATCATGTGGATGTTTATTAAATGAACAAACATTTTGCGCGTCTGCTATGTGCTGGGCAGTGTGTGTGCCGAGCAGTGACTGTGCCAGAGAACGCGAAATTTCCCGTAGAGGTGTCAATTGCCTACTACTAATATGAGTGAATCATTCAGGCACCCCTATGCCTGCCCGCCCTCTGCAGAAAAGCTTGGCCTACATTTTGCATGTGACTCAAATGATAAATTTCTTGAGCATGTTAGCCTTTCTTTGGTTTTCTCACCTATTTCTAAGGGAGGTGAATTTCTCGTGTTAAAGAAGTAAGAAAATGAAAAATAGAAATGAGTGTAGGATTCAGAAATTGGGACTTATGTTAGTTTTTCCAGAATGGGTAAGTTGCTCAGAGATCAGTACTGCATTTTATAGCTAAATACACCCCAGAGATGTAAGGTTTAATTTAGGTCTTTCTGATGCCTGTCCAGTATTCTTTCTAGTATCCTTTAGTAAAACACTGAAAGTTCTAGGTACAGTGATGGAACCCAAACCTTGCATCATTGATCTAATGAGCAGTGGCTGCCAAAATGTGAGATCCCCTATATTATCTTTTATTAAACTGAAGCATTGAAATATCTGTAGAAGCATCTCCTTTTATGAACAAGGAACCTGAGGTTAGGGTGTGGCCTGTCTTGTTCAGGGTCACACAGACATGGGGAAGCCGGGATTGACCTCCAGCCTGTCTGACTCCAGAGCTAGTTTCCTTCTGCAGCAGTTTGCTGCCTCCCCTACCTGGGGACTGGTGGAAGATTTGGGAGTTGGGCATTAGCTGTCGTTTTTAATAAGTTTAACTCAAGTTTATATTTGAAGGCTCTCTTGAATTTGATTCCTGCTTCAAAATTTGCAAAGGATCTTGTAAATGTGCACCTTTGAAGGAGGGGGGACAGGATGAAGCACTGTGTCCACAGCACTGGGAAACCAACCGACTGCAGTTGTCTTTCAGAATTTTTAGCTCCCGGTTACCCTGCCTCCCAACTGGTATATGGTAGTGAGCATTAAGTTACTTCCCCCTTGCAAAACAAACAAAACAAGCCAAAAAACCAAACCTGAGTGGCAAGAGGACTAGCAAATGGGGCTTGTTGGCTAATTCTAAAAGTGAACGTGCAAACTTGATGGAATCTGGAGGCAGTTCTAACCCGGAAAGTAGAGGGGTTTGGTGATCTTTGTCCTCCACACAGAAAATTTGACATCATGTTAAAATTTCTCATTTGTCAGTATATCTGAGGTCAATATTTCCTGTATATCTTCAGAATACTCAGGACAATCCTGTTGTGTCATTTCAGAAAGACTGACTTTGAGAAACTCCTCAAATATTCTATACATAGGTAGCTTTTTGTTTTAGTTAGTATGGTGAATGCTTATTTAATATAAAATTGTCGCTTTACCCGATTCCTCCCAAGGATTTACATTCCAATCAAAGGAAAATTCAAGAAATATAACTTACGTTTCACCAAGGAAATGCCTCTTTTTTTGTTTGTTTAGATTTTTACTTGTTTTTAGAGAGAGGGGAAGGGAGGGAGAGAAACATCAACGTGTGGTTGCCCCTCACACACCCCCCCACAGGGGTTCTGGCCAGAAACTCAGGCATGTACCCTGACCAGGAATTGAACCAGTGACCCTTTGATTCTCACACTGGCACTCAGTGGATTGAGCGCGGGACTGCAAAGCAAAGGATTGCTGGTTTGATTCCCAGTCAGGGTACATGCCTGGGTTGCAGGCCGGGTCCCCGGGTGTGGGGTGCATGAGAGGCAACCACACATGGATGTTTCTCTCCCTCTCTCCTTCCCTTTAACTATCTCTAAAAATAAATAAAATTTCTAAAAATAATAATCTGCCTTTGGGAGAAATGAAAATATAAAATTGAGTTATTGTTGATTCAAACTTTAAATTATGTCCATCTTAAGCACATCTCAAGTGACAAATAGAGAATTTTGTAATTGGAAGACATTTCTGTGCTCCCCCTAAAATCATACCAACTGTTTGCTCAGTTTCTGATGGTTTGAAGCTTTATATTCACTTGTTTTTCCTAGTCCATCTTTTTAGGAATGAGCTAACCCGGCCCTGGGGAAGGCAGATGGCACACAAATTAAATTGGATTGATGGTTATTGTAAAGCATTGGCAACCTTTCTAATTTCCTTGCATCTCAAAAGTTGCCTTCTATTCTTTCTCACTAGGGCAAGTCAGGTAGCAGTTGGAAGATAATGCATCTTAAATAAGTTAGAGGTTGACCAGTCATTTGGACTAAGAATTCAAATTTACTTTCTACCTTCATTGAGCTGTCATCAGCGATGATGGGTGGAGTATAGGCCTATAGGAAGGTGTCAGTCAACATCGAATACCTGCTGTGTGCCCGGCACTGGGAACAGTCCAGTGGAGGAGTCAGACAGGTGAGGTGGCACTGCCCTGGAAGAGGCGTAGACGGGGTACATGGTCTTGTAGAAAACGTGGTGCCTAAATTAAGATTCGAAGGACGAGTTGAATGAAGCAGTAGTAGGCTTAGGAGGGGCAGGTAGAGTGTAGGGCCGTTGCCCATTTAGACAAGGAGGCGGCAGGAAAGAGAGTCCAGCGTTGGGAGCGCTACAGTATTTCCTTCTGGCTGGAGGGTGGGGGTTGGCAGGGCTGAGTGGAAAGAGATGAGGCCGGAGAGGTATGCAGGGGCTGGATTGGGAAGGGCCTCTTTGGACTTGGTTCTGGGGAGCTTGGACTCTTTCCTGACAGCAGAGGAGAGCTTTGAAGGCTTCTATTTTTTTATTTTTATTTTTTTAAAGCAGAATAGTAATACATTTAGATTTCAATTTAAGAGACAAGAACTTTGACCTGCTTCTCTTTCTTTAGGGTAGAGGCCATTCTCCCTGAAGCATGGCTACAACCCCACTTAGGAGTCTCCGGTGCTGCATGTGTCTGCTGTCATTATGGAATGTGTGTGGTGGCTGTGGGTAGTGGGCAAGGAACAGTTATTTCAGGGCTACCTGGTGCTGATCTCTTTATGTCTGCCTTTGTAATAAAGAAGGCATTTAAGAGTTGTGGTATCAGAAAGAACATACCCAGGTGTACCGTGCCTGCAGGAGCCATCTCTAAGCTAGTCCTGGTCCACTCGGGAAGGTTGGGTGCTAGGGACTGGGGTCCTCGGAGCGGGCCCGCGTTTCTGTCAAGTGGTTGGTTCTGACATGGATGTGCTGAGAGTCTGTCCCTGGACTCTGGAAAAAGATCTATTTTTCTGTGAAAGAGGATAATGAGCTTTCGACTGGTAACTTGTTAGCTTTTTTCATTGGGGCTGTGTGGGGGTGGGGCCTGCTCCCAGCATGCTCTGATGGTCCTAGGGAGCTGCTGTGGTTGCCGGGGTGGAAATTTGGGCAATCACAGGCCTTCTTGCTTTCCCTCTTACAGTAGGAGAGAACTTAGTGTTTTGTTCTAACACTTTTGATAGAAGTCTGCAAGAGAAAAGTCACCGTGGTTCAGGTCTGACAAGTCCAATGTGCTCTGAGTCCACCTCTTTCTTTCCATGCCCCAGCGCTGCACCGTGGTGGCCCCCCCACAGTTAAACGTCAGTTTCTGGACGGATCAGGTAGCTAGCCTTCTGGAGGTGTAGTGTGTTCTTTCCTGCACGCTTTTCCCATGGGAACAGAACATTTTCCTGTCAGGACAACTACTGACTT